GAAGGTCAAATCATTGGAGATCTGAACGATTGCTTAAATCCTGTGGTCAACCGTAAGGGCTCTTGTACCAGAGCCCTAAAGCCAGGTGAAGCCCTCACTAAGCTTCTGCATGCCAATAATTTATGCAATCCCTGGCGGCTGAGTCACCCTACTGACAGGGAATTCACGTCCCAATCCTACAGGTATGGTTCAGTGGCACGTTTAGACTATATTTTAATATCTGAAGATCATTGGTGTAAAGTGTCAAAAACAGATATAGGCAGTGCTTCTTTCTGGGGGTATGCAGGGGGACACATACCCCCCTAAACATTTTGTGAATCTAACGGGAGAAGAAACTAAAAATTTTAGCATAGTGAATCATCAGTTACATTGCTATCCCTCATTTCCTGTCATGGTGTTTCCTGAATCTCAGGCGGAAGCGGGCGTTTAATGTGTGAAGCAGTGTGGAATAATGAACTTGTCTGATAGATTTGGGCTTCCAAATAGACAAATCCTAAGGGGTTTTCAAGAGTACCTCTCAGAAAAGAAGATTCCACCGTCTCTTATGCCTCTTTTAAGCACAGTCATTTTCAACAAGTGAGTGTGAACGTGGCTTATCTCAGATGAATTTATTGCTGACTCCAACCAGAGTCACTGCATTTAAACACTATAGCCAGCTTAATGTTTATAAAATTGGTAGGCGCTCCCCTTTTGTGTTTGTTTAAGCCTTCAGTGTATGTAAATTCATGGTTTTTGAAAGGACGACATCTGGCGACAGACACCAGAGGAACAGGAAGATGTGGAAGTTACTGTGAGCTATCAGCTGTGGAATAGGAGGTAATGCATGTTCTCTGCACTTTTGTCCATTTCCTGTATTCATTTCCCCTGATTTGAACTATAAAATGGTGATTTTCTTGAGTCAAAATCAAAGTACCCCTAAACATTTTTTTAGGAAAAAATCAGCGGATATAGGAATTAGTCATACCTCGTGTTGCGTTTGCTTCAGGTTGAGTGTTTTCAGGTTGCGTCCCGCGGCGACCCGGAAGTACCGGAAACGGTTACTTGCGGGGTTTTGCTGCTCACGCATGCACAGATGCTCAAAATGACTTCACGTGCATGCGCAGAAGCGGCGAATCGTGACCTGCACATGCGCAGACGCGGGTTGCGTTCTGCTCAGGTTGCGAATGGGGCTCTGGAACGGATCCCGTTCACAACCAGAGGTACCACTGTATTTCCGTCTCAGACCATGCCCCGATTTCTATAGCAATGGACTTGCTAACGCCAAGTTTATTTCGCTGGACTTTTGATTCTCTCTTATCAACAGACAAAATGTCAAGAACTAAAGTTTTACTTCCTAGAAAACGCTGTCCTGAATGCTAAAATCTTGCCCCTATGGGATGCCATGAAACCCGTCATCAGAGGCCAATGTGTTAAGCCAAGCTGGCAGGGGGAGAAAGGAAAGGAAAGGAAAAGAAAGGAAAGGAAATTGAGAACTTTACCTCAGTCTAAGAACAGAATCCAAACAGTGGAAGGACACTGCCAGTGGAAGGGAAGGCCTCATTAGGGAAAGCGCACCTCAGTTTAAGAACAGTTTTGGTTTAAGAACGGACTTCCGGAACAGATTAAGTTCGTAAACCAAGGTACCACTGTAATCTAATTCTGAAACATTTTTGGTGAATGCTGTTATGTTTTGTAAACTCCTACAAATCACATGCCACATCTGAGCCTATTGCCAAGGAAATGAGCTGCAAAAGAAGGGACAGAAAACCGTTTACCTTGACCAGCATCTTAAGACCTCCTCTCCGCAGCACAAGGAAAAACAACAAATGCCCATTTTAATGAAGTAACGTGCCATATGGGTCCTTGAGTAAATATAAGATACGTTTATTAGGTTTGATGGACTTCTTGGCAGCATACATCAATAAAAACCCATGGTTTCTTCACGCTTCCGTACAAGCTTGAAGAAACTATGAGCTTGTTATCAAACATGAAATTAAGGCAGTACTAAACATAATTTTTAAGCAAGCGGAAAATTTCCATTTTCAACTCTTCTCATTCTGGCTAAAGACAACCATCATGTTTCCATCAAATGAAATGAGCCCTATGGCTTTGTATTTTGTTTAAACCGATGCAAATCTCTGGTTTTGCTAGAAAGATGAGACGATGCGCTTCATATTAAGTTATTCCATCTGCTTGCAATTGCACCCTGCGTTTACGCCGCAAAGGAATGAGATCCTACAAAAGCAAAGTTTCAATTACACAGCAGCTTCTGGCAACCTGAAAACTGGGCCTGGCCTGCTGCTAATGGAGGAAGAGAATAGGAAACCAATATCTGTTCCTTCCATACATGCTCCTGAGATGGGTGGCAGGAAAGATTGAAGCACTCTTTTCCCCCATCTAACATTTGTTTAAAAACCTGAAGCGTTTCTGTTAGGGATTGTAGGAAAAGACCTGCCAAACAAGTTGAAAAACATCTTCATGTATGCAACAACGGCTGTGAGAGTTTTAATAGCACAAAGATGGAAGATCGAGGAAATCCCGACTAAAGAATTATGGCTAGAGAAACTGATGGACGATGCAGAACTGGCAAAATTGACACACAAGCTACGGGACAAGGATCCCTGTGACTTTAAAGACGAACGGGAACCTTTTACAAAGTATTTAAAGACGCAACAAAGTGAATTGGACTCCTTGGCAGGTTTTGAATAAACACTCACAAACTTTTTATTGATAATAACCAGTTAGACAAATTAAGGATTTATACAATGTAATATGCAGAGAATAGCGTTTATAGAGAAAGCAGAGATTGGAACTGAGGGAAGTCGGCGGGGGGGTGTTTTATGGGAGGGAGGGGGAGGGCGAAAAATGGGGGGGAATTAAGGATGATATGTTTTAAGATAATATGTTCTGTTTAAATTCCTGATAAAATTTTTTTAAAAAGAAGAAGCACACATCCCCAAAACAGGACCTGTCACTCCTCAGGTATATTTCTGGTCCCCACTTCCATCTCCCTCCAGGTTAGCTCCCACATTTTGCAAAAAAATAAATAAAAATGGAATAAATTCCTGGCAACGCCTGCTCTGCACAGGGAACAATAACTTCTCAACTCATGGCTTGTACTGATGGTGAAACGTCCAGATGTTGACCTTAATTAAATGAATGATTAATCTAGTCCCAAGAATGTCATGTCCGGCACAGAAAGAGCAAACCATTTTGTTTTCATGTCCCTTGCTGACACCAACCTCTTTTTAACAGAGTGTCTTTTTAATAAAAGTGGAAGTGCCCTGTGGTGGTTTAGGGTTATGGGCGACCTTTGCAGACGTGGGTTCGAATCTCCACTTGCTCAGTGCGTGACCTTGGGGGCCAGTTACTGCCTCTCTGCCTTACCTTCACGCCAGGGTTGTTGTGTGGATTAAGCAAGGAGAGAGGAGAAGCATATGTTCATTTTTAAAATGTTATTTCATAAAGTTTACACACCGCTTGATGGCAAAAAAACCCAAACCCAAAACAATACCTCAAAGCACGTTTACAAAAAAGATAAAATCATAAAATCAGGGAAAAAGTTTCAAGGCATTAAAACATGGAAAAATTTAAAATATTAACAAATTAAAATTCCCACCAGTGTTTCTAAACACCTGGGTAAGCTACCTTGGGATACAAATGCAGTAAATAAGAAACTGAGTATCTTAAGAAGTGTGCGTGCACACAAAAGCTCATACCAATAACTAAGTTAGCTGGTCTCTAAGGTGCTACTGGAAGGAATTTTGTTATTTTTAAATTTTATTTTATTTTATTTTATTTTGACTACGGCAGACCAACACGGCTATCTACCTGTAACTAGAATAATAAGGGTCTGTCATAAAGAGAGTCTGGGTGAAATCAAAAGCTTCCTCCCGGGATCTAAGTGGGATGTTTTGAAATCCCACAAGAGTTCTGTAAGGGGAAATTAGAGTCTAGAATCATAGAGCTGGAAGGGACCCGCGGGGTCATCTAATCCAACCCCCTGCAATCCAAGAATCTCAACTAAAGTATCCCTGGCAGATGGCCATCCAACCTCTGCTTAAAGTTGGATGCTTATAGTTGGCCTTGGTGAAGATTTGACGTTTTCATCTCTAAAATGTTTTTGATTCAAGTTCCTACTGAAATGGGGCTGCATTTTAATGTTGTACTAAATCTTCTTTTTAAGTTGTATTTTAATCCATTGTTTTTACCTGGTGTTGTGGCACTGTGCGTTAAACCACAGAGCCTAGGACTTGCCGATCAGAAGGTTGGCGGTTCGAATCCCCGCGACGGGGTGAGCGCCTGTTGCTCGGTCCCTCCTCCTGCCAACCTAGCAGTTTGAAAGCACGTCAAAGTGCAAGTAGCTAAATAGGTACCGCTCCGGCGGGAAGGTAAACGGCGTTTCCGTGTGCTGCTCTGGTTTGCCAGAAGCGGCTTAGTCATGCTGGCCACATGACCCGGAAGCTGTATGCCGGCTCCCTCGGCCAGTAAAGCGAGATGAGCGCTGCAACCCCAGAGTTGGCCACGACTGGACCTAATGGTCAGGGGTCCCTTTACCTTTAGCCGTCCTGAGCCCGGTCTTGGCTGGGGATCATAGCCGTCAACCTTCCCTTTTTTTGCAGGAAATTCCCTTATTCCAACGCCGTTTCCCGCTGCTTCCCGCTACTATCCTGGATTGTTAGACTGTCCCCAGGACAGGTGAGGCTGCTGATCCCTTATTTTCAAATCTGAATGTTGACAGCTATGCTGGGGAGGGCGGGGTATTAATTAATTATAATTATAATTATTATTTATTAAAAACCTCCAAGGAAGGAGAGCCCAGGGTCCAAAAGGGGGGAAGGCAGAGATTCCCTTGAGGGGTGAGAGCCACCGTTTTTTTTTTGCAGTGACAAGTTTTGGCAGTGACAAGTTTTGCCAAGTTGCAAGGCTGGAGGCGACGCCTCGTATCCCTCCCTCCCTTTCTCCCTCCCTCCCGGAGGGACCACTCAAAAGCGCTTTCTGCAGCGACAAGTGGAACAAAAGAGCCGAGCCGGAGGCAGCTGGAGGGCTCAGAAGCGTAAACGTCTTCTTTGAGGCTTCTTCTCTGGGGAGAAGGAGGAGCCAGCAAAGCGAAAGGAAAAAACGAGTCCAGCTGAAAACCAAGCGGCGCCAGGGCGCAGCTCTTCCGGAGAGGCTCTCCATGAAGCCGTGGCTTCTACTCTCCTGCTTGCTGCCCTTCCTGGGAGCCGGAGAGGGTCGGCATCCCGGATCCAGGCATCCGGGATCCAGGGATCCCAGGGGCAGCGAGGGGACGGAGGAAGCCGCCTTGCAGGTAGGTGCGAGCGGGGAGAGGAGAGGGAGAGGCGGGCCGGAGTCCCAGTCCTTGCGCGCTGCTGGAGGCGAGATCTCCATCCCAGTCCCAAATGTGGCGGCGCAGCCAAGGCACACGCGCGTATCCAACACATATTTAAAGCATATGGCTTCTTCCTCGCCCTCAAAAAATAAATTCCGGGCATCAGATATGGGGTGGGTGGGGGGTTACAGGTCCCAGGATTTTGGGGCGGGGGGAGTCATGCGCTTTAAGCGTATGGGGTGCATCTGCCACACAATTTACTCCCGAGCCGACCCCGCTGGAATTAATGGACCCAATTGAATCACAGACATGGATTCCAATGGGTCTACTCTCGAGTAAAGCTTCGTTGGCGACCACCCCCTTCCAGATCCCCAAGTCTGCTCTTTAAATTATGTTTTTAATGATGTACCCTACCCTGGGATGTTTGGATAAAGGGAGGTGTAGATATTGAATTATTATATAATAAAATATATAACATGTATTTAATAATAATAATAATAATAATAATAATAATAATAATATAATCGTCCAGCGCTGCTTCCTATTGATTCCAATGGCTTAGCTTCGTATTCTGCTGGGAGTTCATACAAAAGTTACGTGTCTTGTTTTCTATGGCACCATCTGTATGCTGTTTGGGACTGGAGCTTGCCGTTTAAAAGGTTGGAGGAAATAAAATAACAAAAAGAGGGGTGGGAAAAACAAAGGGTGCAGAGGGAGAAAAATGGTCATGTATAGCTGGCTTGGAGTGTAAGGGGTTAAGGAGAAAGACATACAGGAAAAGTGGGTTTTGATGTGCTGTTGAAGGAAGAAGAATAAGCCCAATTTCAAATATGTTTCCCCCTGTAAAATTGACAAGCAGTGAACAGCAGATGCTTAGGAGACTATTTCCTACAAATATTTTTCAGTGAATAAATGAAAGTGGATAGTTTTTGTACTCCTCATCTTCACCACAAGATGTCAGACTTGAAACCTAAATCCTGAAAGTGGGGCTGTGGTTGGTGAAAGTTTATTATGCCGTACTAATTTTGTGAGCTATGAGATTTTTTGCTGCAACATAGACGAACAGGGAATTGCTCAGAAATTGTGGGTCCTTGTGGTAGGGTAGGTTGGTGCTGTTCAGCCAATTCCTGTCTTGGCATAAAACAAATAAATGTTTGTGTGTTTAGCATTTTTTAAGTTCAGCAAGTAATCTTGTGGAAGTGCAATCATTGGGCTTGGCACTTGGTGGTTGTGAACCACTGGGGGGGAAACCCATTGTACTATCACTGTTTACATTAACTGCATGTAACTGATTACATACCCTCCAACATTTCTCCAGTGAAAATTGGACGTCCCATTCAATAATGATTATTTTTGCTATTTATACCTCACACATCTTACTGGGTTGCCCCAGCCACTCTGGTGGCTTCATATATATATATGTATATTATTAAACATTAAAAAACACTTCCCTATACCTCTGTACCTCTGGTTGCGAACGGGATCTGCGTGTGTGCGTGCTGCAATTCAGAAAAAGAACTGAAGATTCAAACAGGATAGAAAACTATATTAAAAATATAGTGAATTACCAAAGATAACAGAGGATCAAATGAGGATATTAAATATAGAAATTTCAGTTCAAGAAGTAATTGAGGCAATAAATCAAACCAAAGTAGGGAAATCCCCAGGGCCAGATGGAATAACAGCAAAATATTATAAAAAAACAAAATAACAATAACAAAAAGAGGGGTGGGAAAAACCCAAGTGACCTCCCTGGGGCGCAAGCCTGGGCAGTTTGTCTGGAGTTCCTGGGCTGCCCAGACGACAAGACCCCCCCCTCAGCCTCTCTGATGTGGTCCAAAGGAAAGCAGAGCAAGACGTTTGGCACCAGCTTGGTTATAGGAGTTGCCGGAAGGAGGCGTACAAGACACCATCCAACAAACATACTGACAGACTTCATTACATTTCAAGAGCATAATTATGCTTTCATTTTTTCCAGGAAAGCATTAAGAGAATCAGGCATTTGAATTCGTTATCATCTAGCGACAACACTACTGCTGTCTATGGAATAAATAAATTCTCCCACTTGTCTCCTGAAGAATTTAGAGGTACAGAGTATTACATTACAAAATATTTAATGCTTTTGCATTAATAATAATAATAATTATTATTATTTATACCCTGCCCATCTGGCTGGGTTTCCTCAGCAACTCTGGGCAGCTTCCAACGGAATATTAAAATACAATAGTCTATTAAACATTAAAAGCTTCACTAAACAGGGCTGCCTTCAGATGTCTTCTAAAAGTCTGGTAGTTGTTGTTCTCTTTGACATCTGGTGGGAGGGCATTCCACAGGGCAGGGGCCACCACCGAGAAGGCCCTCTGCCTGGTTCCCTGTAACTTGGCTTCTCGCAGTGAGGGAATTGCTAGAAGGCCTTCGGCGCTGGACCTCAGTGTCCGGGCAGAACGATGGGGGTGGAGACGCTCCTTCAGGTATACTGGAATGAGGCCTTGCCTTATCTTCAGTGCAAGCTATTTTGACATCCTTTTGATATGATTTGGTGTGCCTGAACATCATGCTAAGAAGGACTAAAGTGCTCATTTTTGTTTTGAGAAGATCTATGGTCTCCCTAAATTTCAGACTCTCTGAGCTTCAACCTGTCAGAATGTTTCATTATGCAAGTTGCTATGGCGATTATTACTTTTGCGGCTATTAATCATCCCTTTCTCTGTTTATTTCATTTAACCACCCCTTTCTCTAACATGAGCTTTTCCCTTCATAGTTTGATATCTCGGGGTCTAGGGTACACCTGAGAATTGAGCAGTCCAGACTTTTGCAGAAATAAATAATAATAATATTAATTTATTTATACCCCCGCCCATCTGGCTGAGTTTCCCCAGCCACTCTGGGCGGCTCCCAATCAAGTGTTAAAAACAATACAGCATTAAATATTAAAAGCTTCCCTAAACAGGGCTGCCTTCAGCATGAGACTCTTAATCTCAAGGTTGTGGGTTCAAATCCCATGCAGGGCAAAATATTCCTGCACTGCAGGGAGGTAGACTAATGATCCACCTAGCCCCTTCCAACTCTACAATTTTATGGTTCTATTATTATCCCAGGCCTTTGGTGTTTTAAACTGCGGGAGGGATTGTTCTGTTCATTATTATGTGATTTATTTTTGGTTTCTGTACTGTAAAGCACTGTAAATCATAGGATCCTCAGATGAAGGGCAGTATCTACATTTTGTAAATAATAATGACTGGGGAAAACGCAAGTGTTTGGCTTTTAGAAACCATGTCTCTGAATTGGCTGTAATCAAAACTAGAAAATAACAGAACTTTTGTTTTGTTTTAAAGCTACTTACTTACAAAGTAGACTTTTTAAAGTTCCCAAGTATATGCCGAGAGCAAGCCTAGAGGGCACAGAAGCACCCTTACCAGCAAAGTTTGATTGGAGGGACAAGAATGTCGTTACCAGCGTGAGGAATCAAGAAGCGGTAAGTTCCACAGTTGATTTTCTGCCTAACTTTGGACTGGCTTCCCTCAAAACTCCAGCAACCTTAAGGTAATATAATGAGGCAAGATGATAAGAAGATAAGAATGGAAAATTAACACAGAAATAATAAGTAATGTTTTAAAATAGATAGGGGAATGTGCAACCTTTTGGTTCTTTAAGGGTATACAGTATTGTTCGGTAAATGTACGAGTAGTAATTGATAAATCGACAGCTGTTGAATAATGGGAGCTGAACATCAGGAATGGATTGTGAACCAGAGAAAAGTGTGTACTATTAGGCAGCAAAGGGGGGGGGGAACAGGGGCACATCTAAGACGAAGAGTGGGAGGTCATCTTGTTTGCATTAAATTTGATTTAATTCGGCATTGATTTGTTTAAAATTTGGAAAAAAAAATAATTGGCAAAAGAAAGAAAGAAAAGATAATACAGTGAGGGTTCCAGTGCCCTTTTGAGATGAGACTACATCTGCATTATTGACACGGCAGTGGTGCATGCTTATAGCACCATTTCTCTGGTTGATATGAACTGGCTTTTTCATTACAGGTAATTGAAAAGCTGAGTTGAAGCCTCTGCACTTGCCGTATTCTTTTAAAAATCCAACAATGTCTGTCTACAGCTGCTGAAAATAGATGGGATAGGCAAATCTGGAAAGGACTGCAAGACAATTACTGTATAACTGAGAAATATGTCATTATTAACTCTATGGGTGTCGCTCAGCTGGCTTTTCGGTCGTCCTCCTCATACAGTTTTGCAAAGCCACCCTAAATCTGCTCTGGAAAGTTTTTTGGGGGGAGGAGGCCCTCTAAAACAGATATAGGGAAGGATAGGAGGACAGGAAATGCCTGACAATTGCTTCCTTCCCTGTTCCACTGATGGAAGCCTTGCTGCCAGTTGAGCAACACTGCAGGATAAAACACTATCTGTATGGAACTATGTGAAAAACAGGCTATTTTGAACTAAATTTGTGCTAAAAAAAAGTATGAAGGGCAACTAACGACGATTGTTTTTCTTTTTCTAAATAATTTTTAAAATTAATTTTCATTTATAACAAGCCAACAAAAGCCGCATTAATACAATACCAAATTATAATACAATTAAAAAGCCAATTATCCAATACCAAATTAAACAATTTTGAATGACTTCCTGTGTTCTGGATTTCAGGGAATGATGTTCTTATTTCGTCCTGCTCCAATACTCTTAGTTAGTCCAAATACGACAGTTCCGATCTTGATCCTTTATTTTAACAGCCATTGATCTGATGACTTTCGTTTGTATTTAACTGTTCCATATCCATTAATTTTGCAAGGGGAGTTTTTAACCTGTAAATTTCTGTGTGAAATGTTTGTTTTACATTCATCTTTACGCTTTCAGTTGTCATCCATCACCCTCAGCATTTCTTTTCCAGTGTGGCGGCTGTTGGGCTTTCAGCGTTGTCAGTGCAGTAGAGTCCGTGTACGCAATTAAAGGGAACGTTTTGGAGAACCTCAGCGTGCAGCAGGTTATTGACTGTTCATACGAGAATAAAGGCTGCAGCGGCGGCTCTACGGTTACTGCGCTGAGTTGGCTGAATCAGGTATTCACTTCTTACAAACCCACAGGCTCCGTTAATGCGTGACAGTGTTGGGTAAAGAGAAGGCAAGTCTCAGACTTGAACAACACTCCCTCTTGTAGATCAAAGGTTGCGTAGTCCCAAATATTGTCTCCAACTTTTGCCAATTAGATATCTCCAGGGCTGTCATAAGTCAGGCAAGATGGGCAATACAGTGGTACCTCAGGTTACAGACACCTCGGGTTAAGAACTTTACCTCAGAATGAGAACAGAAATTGCGTGGCGGCAGCGGGAGGCCCCATTACCTAAAGTGGTACCTCAGGTTAAGAACGGTTTCAGGTTAAGAACGGACCTCCAGAACAAATTAAGTTCTTAACCAGAGGTACCACTGTAGATGGTTCTGCTCCAGCATCTGCTCATCATGTGACCTCCGTTGAGGCAATATTTCTCCCACCCTGACATAAGTTGAGATCTATAGTACGGCTAGCGGGCTCTCATCTTCCTGCTGTTGGCAGTGCCGTTTTTGCCAATTTTCTATAAGAACAGCTCAAAAATGGCATTTGTTTTGCGATTTTGCCAAAAAAGCTCAAGAACTTTTCTTTCCGAATTTTCACTGTTTGGCAACCCTGGGTTATTTGTAAGAAATCAATCTTTTATTGCGGCAGTTACTTTGGAACTCCCTGCCTACTGACAACACGCAGGAGCCTCCACTGCACCCGCTAAAAACGTATTTTTATAGAAAAGTCTATCTGGACATATAGAATGTTGACATGTGTTTTAATTCACTTTTAGTTCATCTTTGGTTTTAATTATTTTTGAACGTTTAAAATAGTTGCTTTCAACTGTTCTTACTGATAATTTTATTGTTTTATTCTTATAAGCTGCTGATTTTTATTTTTTTTAAATCAAGCAATATATACATTTTAGGAAGTAAATAAAATAATTTAAGTAGTACAGACTCTGGCATGACCAAAGCAACTTTCAATAGCACAAAAGTGTGTTGTTATTTAATCACAAGCAACTCTTTCGATTCGTCTTCTTGCAGACACGCGTGAAACTGGTGAGAGATGCCGAATATTCTTTCAAAGCTGAAACAGGAATGTGCCATTACTTCAGCCGTTCTGATTTTGGAGTCTCAATCACAGGCTACACCTCTTATGATCTAAGGTAACAACTAGTGAGTATTTTCACAGGGTCCTTCCCCCCCCCCAACTAGCCCAGTAGAGTCACATTCCAAGTGACCATTATGATTATAAACCTCTTCAGTACTGCACATGTGGGAAATCTATGGCCTTCTAGGTGTTGCCGAAAGTACAGCTCCCATAAAGGTAAAGGAAAAAGGACCCCTGACCATTAGGTCCAGTCGTGGCCGACTCCAGGCTTGCGGCGCTCATCTCACTTTATTGACTGAGGGAGCCGGCGTACAGCTTCCGGGTCATGTGGCCAGCATGACTAAGCCGCTTCTGGCAAACCAGAGCAGCGCATGGAAACACCGTTTACCTTCCCGCCGAAGCGGTACTGTCAAGGAGGTTGGTTGATGGGTGCTAGAAGAGATAACAGCCCGGGAGTCCAGCCAGCTTTACAAGATTTATTAAGTCCATTATACTATTTACAATCCAGAGCTCTCAAAAGGCATGACCTCCTCATTCGGTGTCAGTTGCCGAGACTGGCCCCTCCTTTCCTTTTCTCCAGCATAACAACTTCCTGAAGCCTCCCCTTTTCCTGCCTCCTTTACTTAAAGAGTGAAGCCCCGGAAGTTGCTCCCCCCTCCCTGATTCATTGCTTCCTGACAACCCTTCGTCATCCTCCCTCTCTGATGAGGTGCCGCTGCTCACTATCGGAGGCTGCTCTCTATTTCCCCAGCGTTTCCCCCTTCTCAGCCCCCAGTTCCCTGACAGGTACCTATTTATCTACTTTCACTTTGATGTGCTTTCGAATTGCTAGGTTCGCAGGAGCAGGGACCGAGCAACAGGAGCTCACCCCGTCACGGGGATTCGAACCGCCGACCTTCTGATCGGCAAGTCCTAGGCTCAGTGGTTTAACCCACAGCACCACCTGTTTCCCTACAGCTCCCATAGTCACTGACAAATAGCCATGCTGGCTGCAGAGATGGCATGAGTTGAGAGTCCAACATCATCCAGAGGATTCCAGCTTCTTGCATCTTTACGTACTGAGCATACATGCTAGAGATGCAAACATGTTTGCTTTAAGAACACATAGAAATTATCGTAACAGACGTTCTTAAGAAAACATGCCTCTCATTTGTGTGTGTGGTTTGGGAGCTGCACGGTCAGGGAAAAAACAACGCTGTCCAGGGTTGTAAAGACTGCGGAGAGAGTAATTGGGTGCACTCTTCCCACCTTGGATCAAATCTATGCTTCCAGGTGCCATAAGAAAGCAGCAGAGATAGCGCAGGATAGTGCGCACCCCGGAAATGATCTCTTTCAGCTTCTGCCTTCTGGAAGAAGGTACATGGTTCTAAAGACTAGGACTAGTCACCTGAGAAACAGTTTCTACCCAAATGCGATGTTGGTTTTAAACGCAGTGCAAAGTAGTTTCTATGGGAGTCTATTGTGTTTAATTATGGGGTATCAGAGTTTTTAGGGAGCTAACCAGGCTGGGATAGCAGGCTTGTTGGGTTTGGAATGTCTGATGTAGATTTTTTCAATTTCGTTGTTCTGTATGGGACAATGACAATAAAGACTATCGTATCATCTTTTAAAGTTTTCAGCAGCAAGTTGTTGAACCTTGCTAAATCCTGCCTCCCTTCTGGAGTTTCAAAGATCATACATGAATGTTGACATTTCAGGGAGAGAGAGACTTTGACCCCTGGAGCAGCAAATGCGTCCACCGTTCTCATTTCCCTTCCGAATGCAGAGCAGTCATTGACTGCAGAGTAGGATGACTTGTCAATGCAAGAGGATGCATAGAAAGTGTTTTTAACTTCCACGATCGGGCTTCTACTGTTTGTGTTTCTTTTTGCAATGTGTGCCCCGCTTTTCTCACTTGACCTGAACAAACAGTGCCAGGGAGTACAACTTGTGAAAAAAAGCAGATAGTTTTTACTTGAGGTTATTTAACTGGGTTCTACAGGGAGGGGGGGAGGTTTGTGAATCATCATCAGAATAAATGGGGATGGGAGAATGGTTTACAAATAGCTATAGAAATCAAGAGTGGTATCCAGTTGGTTTATCTCCATTGGGGAAGGCATCCATTGTCAGGGTGGAAGGGGAGATAATCTTTGCAGATTGGAGGGTGGGCAGAGGCTACAGGAAGAGGTGTATCTACTGGCAAGGTGTCTTCCCACAGCAAACTGAGCACCACAAGTACTATTCTAGCAATAACACTGGTGAAGAAGTGGTCCAATCTGAAAAATACAAATGTTTAGGTTACAAAACTGTAAAAATAAAGAAAAAGTAAGTTTGCAAAACAATAATTACCATGTGGTTAGGGTAGATCAACGTGTCACGTGTCCGCTTATCCCCAGTGTAAATATGACATATCAGCAAAAGTCGGAAATTGAAAGATAACTATAGCATGTACATGAAAATCGATTTCAGATTTGAAATCAGCATTGAAAGAACATATAGTGGTACCTCAGGTTACATACACTTCAGGTTACATATGCTTCAAGTTACAGACTCTTCTAACCCAGAAATAGTACCTCAGGTTAAGAACTTTGCTTCAGGATGAGAACAGAAATCGTGAGGCGGCAGCGGGAGGCCACATTAGCTAAAGTGGTGCTTCAGGTTAAGAACAGTTTCAGGTTAAGAACGGACCTCCGGAAAGAATTAAGTACTTAACCCAAGGTACCACTGTATAAGAACAGTTGAAAAATCTCATGCAAAAGAAAATGGAAAAAAAATGTTCCCCACTATACTGTGTATCCCAAGGTAATACATTTTTTTGCATACCTCCAACTGTACATAGATATACATGCCATTTTCGATGCTATACATGTCATGTTCAATGCTATACAAGTCACTTACATTTATACTCATATTGTACTACTTTGGCTATGTGTTTAATAAAATATTGAATTCTTGCATTGTGAAAAACAAAGATTATGGTGAAAAGTGAAAAACATGAATTGCAAAAAACCTAGATCTTACAGAAAAAAACAACTTCAGATATGAAATCAGCACATCGAAATTAAGTTAGAACAACTGCATGTGTCAATGCGACAAAAAATTTGTTCCCCAGGTTGAGGAAAAAATAAGGTCATGGCGCAAAATGTGATTCTTGATCGTTGTCAGATGAATAGACTTCTCTAAAGGCTGGCTTACCGTGAGGGCAGTTTCCAAGTAGAATGATACACAAAACAGTGAAAGAGTTCTTAATTGAAACCACCCTTGTTGAAATTGCCAGTTTCAGTAACTGTAAAATAACATAAAATAGGGTTGCCATATTTCAAAAAGTGAAAATCTAGGCACAAAGTTGCCTGGACACTTCTGAGAAGGGTTGCCATACACTCAGGTTTCCCTGGATAATTTTAACAGTTCCGCTCAGACACTGTTTGACGGACAAGTCCTGAATGTGTCCAGGAAACTCCAGAAGTATGGTGGCCCCAACATACCAATACTACTCTGAATAACTTCTGCGTAGTACAGAAAGTTTATTTCCTGTACTATAGACTGACTTCTGCAACCTAAGGGGCTGGATACCTGCCAAACAGAAGGTGCTCAGAAACTGGTTGCTTTCGATTTTGATGCTAGACTGAATTCTGATCCTGAGGGACTGGGACTATTCTTCTTACCTTGCAGTGGCCATGAAGACAAAATGATGAGGATGCTAGTTAAATATGGGCCTTTGCCAGTAATTGTAGACGCAATCAGCTGGCAAGATTATCTCGGGGGCATCATCCAGTATCACTGCTCCAGTGGAGAAGCAAATCACGCTGTTATAGTTACTGGTTATGATACGACAGGTGAGTTTTCAACCACCAATTATAATTTTTTTATTTTTTTCATGGTAAATCTTTATTGGTTTAAAATACAGATGTAAATGATCATTTACAACAAAGGTAAGTATAGAAAAATTCAATACAGAAGAAAAAACATCACGACATGAGAGTAAGAAAAAAAGTTAAAAAGATGAAAAAGAAAAGAAAGAAAAGATGAATGATTATTAACATAGCAGTTTGGAGAAAGCCACTTCCACCCTGCAGAGGAGGTGGGATTGCGGGCGTCATGGCCCCCCCACGCGACTGGGGGGAATCCCCGGCCACGTCACCCCCTAGCCAGCCAATCAGCTGGCTCTGGGGGCGTGGCCTGCCCTATTTAACGAAGGCGAGGCCAGGGATCTCCCTCTTTTCCTGCCTACCAGCTGTTCCTGGTATTAGTGCCATCCCAATATTAGTGCCATCCCAAACATGTCTGCGTTCGCATGGCGGTTTATTCCGTTCACCTGACGTTTCCCCAATTGCTAATTTCAGCATTTTATCTGAGCTTTCACAAGACAAGAAAGCCACAATCTAGTGGAAGAGAGTAGAACTTTAGTGCTCATTTCTGTGCTAATTGGTTCGGGGGGGGGGGGGTCCATTTGAAACCGTTACCTCAGAAAAATTGCAGGAGTAAAATGACAAAGTTTGTGGTGGTATTGTGGCATGCATTTCATTTTTCTTTTTAAACAGTTTTATTAAAGATTTCATTGTGCAACAAACCATTAAAAAGTTGGGTGCCTCCCCCTCTCTCTGCCAAGTGGTGGCAAAAGCCTGGGTCCCAGACAATCACCCAGGGTCTGTGTTCCTTTTGAGAACTGCCGTAGCTTTAAGAAATATTCTTTTTCACCTATTCACACCTTCAGTGTGCATGGAGGCGGTCCAGATCTTACAGCATGGTCATTTAAAGAGGGATTTGGCCCCACAGCATTGCAGCCAGCCTTCAGCCAGCCTGCCCAAGATGGATCCCAGTCTATCCCTCCCCCCAGTTCCACAGGCCCCCTGAAGTCCTTCATGGAATCACCTAGGGGTCCATTAACCCCCAGGTTAAGGACCCCTGGTGAATTGCATCAATACAATTTAACACACACTTCTGCATATTGAAGAACTATGTGCTAGCTAAGCCAGATTCTTCGTAAAGAATCCGGATTGTGTTTTGTGGCTCTGCTTTTAAGTCTCTCCGTGTCTGTCCAACGAAAGGCATTAAAGTTTGCCGAAGATGTCCTAAACAAAACAAAACAAAACTTACTGAAATTATTTTACAGGTAGCATTCCTTATTGGATTGTTCGAAATTCCTGGGGCACTTCGTGGGGAATAGACGGCTATGTTCGCATTAAGATAGGTTCCAATATCTGTGGTAAGTTGAGGAAAAGGCACTGCAGTCGATCCTTCACATTTAGGCCTCCGTATGCGTTTTTCCATGGCCCTATTTTAAGAGGCTATTTGAAACTTCAGGTACAGTGGTACCTCGCAAGACGAATGCCTCACAAGACACAAAACTCGCTAGACAAAGGGTTTTTTGTTTTTTGAGCTGCTTCGCAAGACGATTTTCCCTATGGGCTTGCTTCGCAAGACGGAAACGTCTTGCAAGTTTGTTTCCTTTTTCTTAACACCGTTAATACAGTTGCAACTTGACTTCGAGGAGCAACTCATAGAACGCGGTGTGGTAGCCTTTTTTGAGGTTTTTAAAGACTTCAGTGATTTTTGAAACTTTTCCAAAACTTTCCCGACACCGTGCTTCGCAAGACGAAAAAAATCGCAAGACGACAAAACTCGCGGAACGAATTAATTTCGTCTTGCGAGGCACCACTGTAGATGCATTTTACGTTCCTCCTCTCAACGTCCCAAGATGAAGCTAAGTGCAGCATCAAAGCAAGTCCATTAGCATATTATCAAAGCAAGAGAATATAAACATATATGAGCTCATTTGTGCAACAACGACCAATTAGCTTGGGGTTATTTTGATTACCAAAATGGCGTCTGCAGGCCTTCGGGAACGTTTCAATAAAATACCCCATAAAAACAAATGGTTCATGAGCAACTTAGTTAGGTAAAGGTAAAGGGACCCCTGACCATTAGGTCCAGTCGTGACCGACTCTGGGGTTGCGGCGCTCATCTCGCTTTACTGGCCGAGAGAGCCGGCGTACAATTTCTGGGTCATGTGGCCAGCATGACTAAGCCACTTCTGGCGAACCAGAGCAGCGCACAGAAATGCCGTTTACCTTCCCGCTGGAGGGGTACCTATTTATTTACTTGCACTTGGACGTGCTTTCGAACTGCTAGGTTGGCAGGAGCCGGGACCGAGCAACGGGAGCTCACCCTGTTGCGGAGATTCGAACTGCTGACCTTCTGATCAGCAAGTCCTAGGCTCTGTGGTTTAACCCACAGCGCCACCCGCGTCCCTTGAGCAACTTAGTTACTTCTGAGTAAAAAAGCTGGGGGAAAGTAAGCTCAAGTATAGAGACAGTTAAAACACTACGTATTCCTCCAAGGCTGGCCGTCACTCACGTCTAATGCAGTGATCAAAGCTACTCAGAACATCATCGTCTCTGCTGGGACCCTCTCCCATTCCTTCCTGGAAGTATTAGTGATCTAAAATGAAAGGGTGTTCAGTAATATTGGTACAGCATGGGAGCCAAGGAGTAAGAGATGATGTTGCAATAATACTTTCCTTTGTAAAGGATTTGTCCAATGATCCAGTGGTTAACGTTGATCTCGTTGCCTCCTAGGCATCGCTGATGAAGTTTCTGCCGTGTTTGTGTGAAGCGGTTGCTCTGAACGCAGAATTGGTGACAGACATTTCAAACACTATTTTTCCACAATGTGAAGGAGTTTGATACTTGGGAAGGGAATTTTGGGCATTCTGACGGCAACAAACAGAAGAATCACCTTCCAGAAAGTGCCATAAAACTTTTATTTTTGGGAACTTGATATCCGCTCTGCAGCGTATTCTAGACCATCAATTGTGCAAACAGAAGGAATTTTATATTACCAGCTCTAGTTTCAGTTTTGGGAATCTTGACTCCACCTGCGCTTAGCACAGTACAGTGGTACCTCGGGTTAAGAACTTAATTCGTTCTGGAGGTCCGTTATTAATCTGAAACTGTTCTTAACCTGAAGCACCACTTTAGTTAATGGGGCCTCCTGCTGCCGCCGCTGCGCAATTTCTGTTCTCATCCTGAAGCAAAGTTCTTAACCCGAAGTACTATTTCTGGGTTAGTGGAGTCTGTAACCTGAAGGGTCTGTAACCCGAGGTACCACTGTATTTTAAATAAGAGTTGAGCGATTGTTGTCAGAGAGCTGGATTTATATCAGGGAGGCCCGAGTTCATCAGGTAGAATGTCCCTGATGTGCAGCCTTAGACAAAAACCACACACTCTGCCTCAGTTCCCCATCTGTAAAATGGTAACATCACACCTCACAATAATTTTGTGATAACAAAATACAAATTTATAAAACATGTTGCAAATTAAAGTCAGAACTATACAGTGGTGCCCCGCAAGACGAATGCCTCGCAAGACGGAAAACTCACTAGACGAAAGAGTTTTCCGTTTTGGAGGTGCATCGCAAAACGAATCTCCTACGGGCTTGCTTCGCAAGACGAAAATGTCTTGCGAGTTCCTGCGGTTTTTTCCCTTTCCCCCTTGTTCTAAGCCGCTAAGCCGCTTATCTGCTTATCCGATAAGCTGATAAGCCGCTAAAAGCCGCTAATAGCGCTAATAGCGCTAATCCGTCAATGGGCTTGCTTTGCAAGACGAAAAAACCGCTAGACGAAGAGACTCACAGAACGGATTCTTTTCGTCTTGCGAGGCACCACTGTATGTGTGTTGAATGTACAGGGTGCATCGCTCTTATTCCAGCATTTTGTAGAATATACTGGTAATAATAATGATATTGTTTTTAGTTTATTGATTTTATCTTTTGAATGTTTGAAGGAGTTATTTTTGTACTGATTTTACTGATGATTTTATTGTTCTTTTGTAAATCACTTTGAGGTGGGTTTTTTTAACAACCAGTGTATGGACTTTATGAAATGATAAATAAATAAATATTTGCAGTGCTGCAGGTGTAAGCAGCTATATTCTCTGATATTTTCTGCTACAGCTGAGCTCTCCCTTCCACTCCTGTTCTAAACCCTTTATATATTCTCCAGGAACATGGCATCGCTTTCTGTTTAGTATATGTTGCTTTGGAGCCAAATCTAGTCTTTGCTGCTCCATTTAAAATACCTTCAACATTATGTAAAACTGACTTTTGTTTTCGTTATCAGGAATTCAGTTTCCACCTCTTTGGCTCTAGACTGGATTAGCCTTAACACACAGTTGTGATCAAAACATGACTACAGTTTGGCTGGATTGATAAAGAATTTTTTTTTTACCCACTTTTTAATTTACATTTGTCATAAAAACTTCTCTTCTCATGAGGTGGCCAAAGTATTGGAGCCTCAGCTTCAGGATCTGTCCTTCCAGTGAGCACTCAGGGTTGATTTCCTTCAGAATGGAGAGGTTTGATCTTCTTGCAGTCCATGGGACTCTCAAGAGTCTCCTCCAGCACCAGAATTCAAAAGCATCCATTCTTCGGCGATCAGCCTTCTTTATGGTCCAGCTCTCACTTCCATACAACACTACTGGGAAGACCATAGCTTTAACTATACGGACCTCATACAAAGTGCTAATGACTGACACAAAGACGGTATGGTTTACCAGCAGTGTTCAGTACAATGCTTAGTACAATGTGGGCATTTTCCAGAGTCACCCTGAAGCTGAAGAAGCAGAGGAAACTGAGGATGATGATCAGGGTTCGAATTCCAGTTCAGTGGGCAGTGCTAGTGCTGATGTCAGTGACAGCGATGACACAGCAGACTACAAGAGCGTGAAGGCCTCACTCAGACCATCTGATGGGTCTGACACTGAATTGGAAGGACCACTGTTCACTATTGGCCACCATTCTCCTAAGAAAGAGGAAATGAGTGCTGAAGACTTGCATCTAGTATGCAGATCTGAAAGGGCCACAAAGGGCAAACCTCCAAAGAGGTATGCTGATGAGTTTGCTAAAACAGCAACTGCTGCTGTTAGTAGCTCAGAGAAGGTGTGGGAACCTTCAAGCTTCCAGGAGGTCCAGGAGTTAACCTCAAAGGATGCAGAGCCATGGCTAAAAGCCATGAAGGCTGAACTTGATTCCTTAGAAAGGAACAAGACCTGGGAGCTGGTTCCAATAGTACCAGGGATGAAGCTGGTTGACAGCAAATGGGTCTTTAAGGCCAAGACTGATCAGAATGGCATGGTAGTAAGACACAAAGCCAGATTGGTAGCCAGAGGTTTTTCACAAGTACCAGGACTAGACTACCATGAGACCTACTCACCCGTCAAGTATGAGAGCATTAGGCTTATGCTCATGATTGCTGCAGAAGAAAAGCTTCACATTTCACATCACGACGTGAACACAGCTTTTTTGTACAGGGTTCTGGGGGAGGAGATTTACATGCTTCCACCTGATGGAGTGCAGGTAAAGAAGGGAATGGTCTGTAACCTACAGAAATCCCTATGTGGTCTCAAACAGAGTGCCAGGTGTTGGAACACAAAACTAACAGACATTGTTTTCTCTAGGTTTTCACCAAGGCAAAGCTGATCCATGTGTGTTTGTCAAAGAGGAGGGGCAAAACAAACTGTATTGTGTATGCTTTATTGATGATGTTTTTTGGAAGAATCAGGCTTTGTACCAAAGCACCCTAGCTCAGCTGCGAGAGCACTTTGACATGAAGGATCTTGGTGAGGTATCTAACTATCTTTCTCTGGAAGTAGAAAGAAACCAGGCAGTTGATTTTTTGGTACACCAATTTCAAACAATTGCTGATGTGTTAACCAGGCTGAATATGGTTGATGCAAATCCTGTGGACACACCGATGGTAACAGGTTTCCAGGTAGATGATACTGGGGAAGCATTTTCTGACACTACATTGTACAGATGCATTCTAGGCAAACTGAATTTCATTGCCAGATGTTCAAGATCGGATATAGCTGTAAACACTAATCTGTTTAGCAGACACGCTAACAAGCCTACTGTTCAGGATTGGAAAGCTCTCAAGCGCATAGCACACTATCTGAGAGGTACTATGCACTACAGACTCAGATTCACTAGTGTAGTGATATTGGAAAATCATAGTATGTTAAAACTTTGGTTCATGCAGGAGAGAAGCATTGTGGGAGAGTCAAAACTGTAGAATTTTGGGGATGTGTATCTGGTTCTTTTAATTGCAGACTTCTTGTCTTTAATAATAATAATAATAATTTTTATTTATACCCCGCCCTCCCCAGCCAAGGCTGGGCTCAGAGCGGCTTACAAGCAATAATAAAACAAGTTGAATGATTACAACTTAAAAACAAAATTAAAATACAACATTAAAATATTGAAACATTAAAATATTAAAATGTAGCCTCATCGCAGGAGGAGAAGGAAAGGAAAAAGAAAGAGAGGGAGGGAGGGAATCAAATTGGCTCCAAGCCAAAGGCCAGGCGGAACAACTCTGTCTTACAGGCCCTGCGGAAAGAAATCAGATCCTGCAGGGCCCTGGTCTCATGAGACAGAGCGTTCCACCAGGCCGGAGCCAGAGTTGAAAAGACCCTGGCTCTGGTTGAAGCCAATCTAACTTCCTTAGGGCCTGGGACCACTAGGGTGTTGCTATTTATGGACCTTGAGGCTCTCCGTGGGGCACACCGGGAGAGGCGGTCCCGTAGGTACGAGGATCCTAGGCCATGAAGGGCTTTAAAGGTCAAAAGCAGCACCTTAAATCTGACCCTGTACTCTACCGGGAGCCAGTGCAGTTTGAAAAGCACTGGGTGAATATGCTCCCATGGCAGAGACCCCATGAGGAGCCTCGCTGCAGCATTCTGCACCCGCTGGAGTTTCTGGGACAGCTTCAAGGGCAGCCCCGCGTAGAGCGAATTACAGTAGTCAAGCCTGGAGATGACCGTCGCATGGATCACTGTGGCCAGGTCGGGGCGGGAAAGGTAAGGGACCAACTGCTTGATGCAGCGAAGGTGGAAAAATGTCGCCTTGGCTGTTGCTGTAACTTGCGCCTCCATGGAAAGGTGTGAAATCAAATTGCCTCCTGAATCGCCTCCTCTGGGCAGGAAGAAAGATGTTATCTGATTTGTAAATTCTGACACTTGGGAGTCACAGATGTGGAATGGTGTGAAAAGGCTATCAGGTAATTTGTAGCTTAGAAGAGTCTGGTGTTTCTCTGGGATTGAAAGGGGAGGCTTTGATCTTCAAGGTCTCTGCGAATAAACAGAGTTCAGCTGTCGAGTCTCCTAACAATCGGGAGTTATTGTCTCCACATGCAGCCATTGGTGAATTGCTAATTAATATAAAGAACGGATTGGCCCCTAAGTTTTGTCTCCAGGTGGGATTCTATGGGATAAAACTTCAGGGAATTGAGATGCAAAATGCAGACCATCTTGCCATGCAAATCCTTTGCTACGTGGATTACCTTGCCCTGGTGCCTGAGGACGCAGGACCAGTGGAGAAACCTGATCCCAGAAGGAAGAACAGCAAAAGAGGCTTGAGCTCAGGGGTCAGCCTCTTTTCTTTTGCCCTTGGGCCCACCCCCGCCCGGCCGTCCATTGTCCTCCCTGGCCGAGGGCGGGTCAAAGGCCAGCTCAAGCAGGTGGGTGGCACCCGCCCAGGTGAGCCTCGCTTGGTGCCGCAAACCCCGCCCACCTGTGGATAAGGGAGGGCGGATATTGCGTTACTATGCTTTGAACTGTCAATGTTGTGAGTATGTTTTAGTTAGCTATACTAAGCAATGTTTGTATTTTCTTGTTTGTAACTTTTAAGAAATGTGCAAGCTTTTATTTTCTGAATGACCTTTTTTCAATATATTTGGAAAAGGACTTTTGCCTTTTTGATTTCTGTGCCTTTTGCCTGGGAAGCTTAGCCACTCTGGACACCTACTGGTTATACATGTTGGATTTCTGTCTGCGTGGTAGAGGTACCAGATGAGGAAGGGGGTTCTGGGGAGGAGGACCCCCTAACACTCTCAGACCATAGGGCCCCACTGCAGGAGGATGCTATAATTGTCAAGAAGAAGGGCACATAAAAAGGTTCTGCCCATACCTCAACGCAGGAGCCTATGGAGGGCAGGAATTCAGATCTCCCTATGAGAAAAACAGCTATGCCCCTTTCCCAACCTGTCCTAATACAACCCAGGGATATGGGAGCCAACCTTCTACATCCTATGGCCCGCAAGCACCTCCTACATCCTATGGCCCGCAAGCACCTCCACCTCAACCACCCCAGAACCACCGGCCGCAACAAAATACGAGACCTCAAATGCCCGCCTTAAATCCATCCAACTCCCATCGAACCAATGCTACCGCTCCACCTATGCACGCGCCAAATCAGCCACCTCCTCTCAACATCATGATGGGAGATGGAGAGCCTTATTGATAATTAACAGGGGATCCCGACCAAACCCAAGCCATCTGCCCCATCCTTGCACTATCACCGGAAGACCCCATTTGCACAATTGAAATCGATGGGCATCCCTATGAATGTTTACTAGATATGGGAGCCACATATTCCACCCTAGCAAACAGCCACCTTGAACCTCGATCAGAGACCAGACGCTGGACGGGATACCCCGCACTTGTCCGCTCTCCCACCCAACTAAGGTCACCCTAGGGCCCTTGCTGGCGGAACATACCTTCCTTTTAACCAGTAGCCCAGTAAACCTCCTTGGCAGAGGCTTACTTTGCAAATTAAATGCCACAATAAAGTGCTCCGGAGATGGCATATATTTGTACATGCCAGAAGAATCCGTCCCCACCTTTCAAGGAAGGCATAGTTCAAGAAGCTAAATTGGCCCGCCAGTTTCCAGACCTCCCTCCTGATCTTGAGAATGAAATCCCCCCCCCGGGCTATGGGGTACGGAGTCTACTTCAGTAGGACTTCTAAAATCGGCTACCCCGGTTAGGATTACTTACAGAACAGATCTTCCTTTCCCATGCACTAAGCAATACCCTTTACTAAAGGAGGCCATAGAAGGACTGACGCCTATGATTGAGGAATTTC